GGGTCAAACCTTTAGATCAGCATCATCCAATAAAATTTCTTCCCAATGATGGGAATTGCTCTAGATCTGTGCTAATAAGTAGTCACTAGGCTCATGTGGCTATTGAGCCCTTGAGATGTGCCTAGTGCAGCTGAGAAACTGAATTTTTATTTCACTTTTTATTTTATTTTTTAATCAGAGAGAGAGAGTGAGCACAAGCAGGGAGAGTGCCAGGCAGAGGCAGAAGCAGGCTCCCCACTGAGCAAGGAGCCCAATGCGGGACTCGATCTCAGGACCCTAGGATCAAGACCTGAGCCAAAGGCAGCCACTTCACCAGCTGAGGCACCCAGGCATCCCAAGAAACTGAATTTTTAAAGATTTATTTATTTTAGAGAGAGAGAGGGAGGGAGAGAGAGAAAGCGAGCGAGTGTGGGGGGAGGGGCAGAAGGAGAGGGAGAGAGAATCTCAAGCAGACTCCTCACTGAGCACTGAGCTGGACGTGGGGCTTGATCTCATGACCCTGAGATCATGACCTGAGCTGAAACCAAGAGTTGGACACTTAACTGACTGAGCCACCCAGGCGCCCCAAGAAACAGATTTTTAAATGTTATTTAAGTTAAATTGAAATAGTCACATGTGATTAGTAGCTACCATATCAGACAGTGCAGATTTTGATATCTCCAAATGGTTAGATGTTGGATGGCCTATAAACTTAGCTGAACAAGAGAAAGAATTTTGAAATTTTTATGAGGTCCTATTTATCATTATTTTTCCTATTGTGGTTTCTTTCCTTGCTTTTATGTCTAAGAAGTCCTTTCCTGTCTTGAGATCTGTCACCTATATTTTCTTCTAATTGTGTTTGAGGTTTTCTTACCTTAAAGTCATTAATCAGCTGGAGTGTTTTTATTTATCTTATTTTTTTTTTGGAATATGCTAGAAATTGAAAACCTAAGGTTTTTTTTTTTTTTTCTTAGTAGTTGTCTCAGCACCATTTATTTCATAATGCTTCTTTTCCCTACTGATTTTTGATGCTGGTTTTATAATCCACTAAATTTTTATTTGTACTGGGGTGTGTGACAGAACTTTTATTCGCTTGTTCTGATCTGTCTGTTCTTGTCTATGGCCTCCACCCTGAACGCGCCCGATCTCGTCTGATCTGTCTGTTCTTCCATTGGTACCACTTTGTTTTAATCATCAGAGCTTTAAAATATTCTTTAATGTCTGATGGTTCGAGCTTGTTCTATTTGTTTTAGCTATTCTGATTCAGCTGGTGTAATGTCTAAACTTTTTTTCTCATGTCAATTCATATGTGCACGTAACATAGGTGATCACATTTTCTTTTTTTTTTTTTAAAGATTTTATTTATTTATTTGACACAGAGAGAGACAGCGAGAGAGGGAACACAAGCAGGGGGAGTGGGAGAGGGAGAAGCTGGCTTTCCGCCGAGCAGGGAGCCCGATGCGGGGCTCTATCCCAGGACCCTGAGATCATGACCTGAGCCGAAGGCAGCCGCCTAACCGACTGAGCCACCCAGGCGCCCCGGTGATCACATTTTCTAAACCCCAAATCGGTACACATGATTAACTCATGGAACTGTGGTCATCATTCACATTAATATTAAGTCTCCTCCTCCAAGCACAGGGTTGTGCACATGGTAGGTGCTTTTGGACTAAAAGGAAATGAGGTCGAGGCATTTGATAAGTTCATAATTTCTATGGTAATTAGTTCTTATATACACAATGCTTAAGATAGCTTTCCTTGTTTTGCATGTTAAGAAAAAAATCCAAAGGTTATTTGTTCTCTGTTCTGTTCTTACTGTTCAAGGAGCTTTTAGGTAGCTCCTAGACCAGCTGTGTCACCCACATATTCAATGCAGCCCAGTTAGCTATTAAGAGTCACAATGCATTGAATCAGAGTGTAACTAAAGTCAAAGCTGCAGGAAACAGCAGCTAAACTAATGAGTATTCAAAGCTGATTAGAATGCAAAAAAATCCAGCCATTCTTTAAGGATCAGCTATAATACGGAGCAATCAGGTAGCAGCTACTTGAAGCAATTGCTTGAAAGTCATTTTTTTTGATTGGCAAGATTTCTTAAGGATTACATTTTAAAAATGAGGACCATTTTCCCCCCCAAAAGTTTCAATTGCCACTTCTGATTTAATTAAAGCACACACACACACACACGCACATGCACAAACAAGTATGCAAATATTAATCATTAGTCATATTCAACTAAATGAATCCAGTCATTCTGGATAGCTGGAAAGCTGAAACCACCAAATGAAGGACATTTAATGTATTCTTAGGGATAATATTTAAACAGCATAGGAATCAAATTATTGTCCAAAATCTCAGTCATGGGGCTTTCAGAGGTTATTTAATCCATCTTTCCATCTCAGGGTAGAACCAGATGTATATTTATCATCAATATCATTTTAATCCTACTAAAGGAAAAAAATGGTAATTGGAAGTCTCCAGGAGTCTTCCCCTGCTACTCCCTAAAGAAACAATCATAAAAATACAGTGAACTCAAATCAGGGTCGTTGATTTTTGATTCCCACATAGATATACAGTTTTAAAGGAATGTTCAGAGGTCAATACATATTTAGCAAAATCTTCTATACCTTTTGTGTCTATATATACCACAGATATTAAGAACTGATAATCCATTAATTCATTAATATTTAATTGATTCATTCATTAAACATTCATCAAAGCCATAAAAATGCTTGATAATTAAATATTCAATTATTTTTATCAAGCTGTACTTTATTAAGGCAGGAAACTTATTTTGGCTTAACCCTGAGTTAGAAATTATAATCATAGAGGTTGTTAAAGTATTTTCTGAGCATAAACCTTTTAATCAATATATCAACTGAGAAATCTCTATTACGACCTCAAATCCTTTTTGGAATGAGGCAGACCACCAAGGTTTATACCCTGGTTTTATCATTTCTTTGTTATACGATCTTGAGCAACTCATTTAACTTCTCTGTGTCTTGGCTTCCTAATTTGTAAAGTAGTATATTAATAGTAGTTCCTGCCTCATGGGGATTAAATGAAATAATTCACATAAAGGACTCAGCACTGTGCCTTGTACATAGTAAATCCTAAATACAAGTATGCTAATCTTACTAGTGATTATATATTATATTATATTATATTGTATTATATTATATTACATCAAGGATTTCATGTGAAAGTAAAGTGAAGATGAATCTTGAAGGGCCATAAGAGTCCAGGAAATAGTTGATTAGTGCACCATTTAATTGAAAATCTCACTCTGGCTTCCCAAATAAAAAATTTTTTTTTCAATTTTTTTTCTCATTCAACATTATTTATTTTTATTATTTTTTAAATATATTTTTAAAATTTAAATTCAATTAATTAACATATAATGTATTATTGGTTTCAGAGGTACAGGCCTGTGATTCATCAGTCTTATATAACACCCAGTGCTCATTACATCACATGCCCTCCTTAATGCCCATCACCCAGTTACCCCATTCCCCTTCCCCTCCAGCAACTGTCAGTTTGTTTCCTATGATTAAGAGTCTTTTACGGTTTGTCTCCCTCTCTGGTTTCGTCTTGTTTTATTTTTTTCCTCTCTTCCCCTAAAATTTTCAATTTAGATAGGTAGTAAACAGTCTCTTCCGAAAATGGGCTGTTATCCTAAGTCTAATGTATGTATATGTGTTCTATGCATGTGAAGGGGAAGAGGGGGACAGTTTATCATCTTTTAAGGAGTTCACATGAACTGTCTCATTTCTCTATTTTTTTTTACAATAAATATTTACAATAACCCTATGAGAGAGTTAATATTATTATCAGTCCCATTTCAGAAATAAGGAAATTGAAGCACAGAGATATGAAGAAACTTTTCCCAAATCATACAGCAGCCAGTAAGTACGCAGCAGCCACAAAGTTTAACTTCAAAGCCCTGTGCACCGAATCACAAAGTTGCTTCCACTTAAAGTTCATAAAGTCTTGTCACTTTTGAGGTAAACTGCTGGCCAGAACTAGTAAAGGGGGCAACTCTTACATCCAGCAATCCTCAAATTAGGATTGCTACCTTATTGATTTAAGTCTCATGTTTGGATTCAAATGACAAAGTGTATAATTGTCTAAGCAGATATAGAAGCCAGAGGAATCAAATTTAATGACCTACTTCATCTTAAGCTGATATACAAGATTAGAAAGAAAACTTTTGTATTAACTTCATGTTTCCTTGAGTCGAAAGAAAGAAGAAAGTGAGGATTTGTTGTTTTAGGTTCATTCAGAGGTGATCTGGGCTGTTTTGAGGCCTGATTGAACAATATATTAGACACTTTGGTTTGTTTGACTGAAAAAGGAGTGGTTAGGTTACCCTGAGGCCTTGGAGCCAATATGGCTTTTGAAAACATCATGGGCAACTCTTGAATTAAATATAAAAATTCTACTGTGAATTGTCTTAATGCTGTGTCCTTTGAAAGATACAAAGCATTACTAAAAGGTAGAGACACAAGAGGTTGCTTTAAATAACTAAGAATGAAGAAAATGATTTCACAGTGTGTATAGTGTAGGCATCTGACAGTTTGAAGAGGGGTACATGTATATAATAAATGGTATAATAAATGCCACAGATACGGGAGGCGGAGTGGCTGTAGTCGTTAAGAAAACAGACTCTGATGTCATATAGACCTGAACTGGAACCAGGGTGCTATGACTTTCTAGTTGTGTGACCTTGGAAAAGTCACATACTATCCCCACTCCAAGCATTAGCTTTTCCATCTAGAAGTAGGAAAAGTAGTGCCCACACCTCATGGCGTTGTGAGAATTAAATGAGATATAATAATGCATGCGGAGTTTGTAATATTGTCTAATGGTAGGAAATATTCAATAAACCATGATTTAAAAAGTAGTATGGCCTTATATAACAATATTGCTTATATGAAGGGTTCCCAATTTTCACTCTTGGCCAAATTGGTCATCACTGTGCTGGGCTATTCCTTTCTCATATGGACATTTTGTAAATAACTCACCTCCATCATTGTCCAAGTTATCTCCACAAAGCATTTCCATGACAACATTGCAGCCTGTCCCGCTCCAACCCACCTGACACACACAGTGCCAACCATTTTGATCCAGGGTACATCTCCCATTTCCAAAGCAGAGCCCTGGGCAGCCATCTGTAAAGACAGCAGAGAATAACAATCATGGAGACATCAGAATGGGATTGGCCAACAATGATGTATCTACCTATAGGAAAGCATCTAATCGCTTGGGCTCCCCTCAGATGAGGTGTTAAATAAATGGAAAAGGAAGTTGTTTGCTTACAAGACCTTCCCAGGAAACTTGTTATCCCTAACTCGGCTGTGCTTTTCCTTAGAGAGCCAATTAAGCATTATTAATGCTAGCCCCGATTCCCAACCTCTAGTGTAGATAAGATGAAAACTATGATGGGGACAAAAAAATGTTTTTTTTGTTTCTTTTTGAAAAAATGAATCTTCTCAGCTCAATCAAAACTGGATGGATGATATTGTATCTAGTTGTGGCCAATAAGCTGGGAAAAGACAGCAGTTTCTATGAAAAGAAACTTCCCCTAACTACTTCCAGTTTGTACTGATTTTTCCCTTGTGAATCACTGCTTCAGGACTTCAGTATATTGGTAGGCAGTTCAGACCATGCCATTAAAAATTTGTCCATATAAATGCCTTAGAAATGTGCTGCAATTGCTTTACGTTTATTTGGCTTTTTTTCTTTAAGATTAGCATTGATCCGAGGGTAAGGATTAAATTTTTTATTTATCTGGTATCTCGCATAGAAGCTAGCATAATAATATTAGGCCTGTAGTAGGTGCTCAACAAATGTTTATGGAATTAATGTGTGCCAAATTGAGACTTTCAGAATTCTAGAGAATGACTGGATAAATAGAGTCAAGAGGAAATTGTTGTGCTTAAATGACTTCTATCCATTGATAAACCGCAAACACTAACAATGGTGTCTATTTAGACTTTTAATTTCTCTGGGATGCCCTACTCTTTCTACTAATAGTTCAGAGTTAGGCCATTTCAAAGGGCATCTGTGTATGTGCCAAGTGCTCAGTGGACAGATGAACAGAGATGGCAATAATAGCATATAGCTTCTGGAATTTTCCCAGTAGCAGCACAAGACCAGATCTGCATTTTACTGGAGAGAATTCAATCAATATTTTTTTTTTCATTTGCTGTCTTTGAAAGAAAATTCCAGAAGTATAAAGAGCAAAATAATTTTTCAAAAATCTGTAGACATAATCCAATGTTCCTTCCAAATGGTTTTCTAAGTAACTATCAACAGACCAGGCAAAGAAACAACTTTAAAATAAAATGACAGATGGCTGTTAGAAAATATGAAGACTCTCTCTCATTATATATATTATATGTAAATATATATATATATATATTCCTCAAGAAGTGGTACAGGATGAATATATATATATATATATAGGTTTAAGAAAGAATTTATCTAGCTCCATTCATCTAGTTCCATTATCATAGATATACAATGGATACAGAGAAATCAGGGATAACTTGGAACATAGTCAACCTTCTGAGGCTGAGGTAAAGAAAGGCACCAGGATATCTGACAGAAAAACCCTTATTGTCTCTATCAAAGGCAGATCCTTGGGGGGATGCACGATGGGTTACTTATAAGGGGAGAATTCTTCTGCCCTTGAAAGGATACTGTACATGGACTTAGAGCCATATTGTTAAGTTAAAGAAAGTGTCCAGCTGTCTGTCCAAACCTAGTTCATTTAATAATTACCTGCCTGTGTTATACATACAGACACATGCACACACACACACACACAAAACTCCATAGAAAGACAAAGAAAAACAGTTCTTAAAACTGCTTGTCAATCCTTTATACAATATGGCAAAAAAAATGACTCTTTGATGCTGGAAAAACAAATTATTTTTTAGTCAGACTATTATATCGTGAACCTGACAATACCACACTTAAGGAAGCCTGCCGGAAGTAAAAACACAAACCCGAAACACACACACACACACACACACCACCCACCCTTCCTTTCCCACATGCGTATTTTCCATTTACAATATTTTTCTGCTATAAAACGAGTGAGAAGAATCTTACCTCGGACAGCATCTAAGTAGTGAGCTAAAAGGGGGGGAAAAGAGTGATTGAATGAATTTCTGGGAGACCACAGCTATCCAACATGTACTAATGGTCTACCATCTGTTGCCCGGGAGGAGAACAGCAAACTGTGAGCTGCCAAAATGCCGGCAGCTCACAAGTTGGTACAAGGGCCTGTGTAGTTTGGGAATAATATTTTCTGTGGGAAAGATATTAATGGCTTTTCTGCAAGAAACTCTATTAGGCTTCCTAAAAAAGTGTCATATTTCATTAAAAGTATTACATTTCAGTAATAACTTTTCGTGAAAGAGCACTCGCTTGAACTTCTTACTAGTAATATCTTTAGAAGGGAGTTCTGGAGTAACTACCTCCCGTAATCATCACAATATTTAAATCCTCTTACGTGAAGGCAATAAACTTACTGTATTGCGGGAATGTAATTACAGCTGCTGCATCGGAGTCTCACCCCTCACCACCTTTTTAATGAATCTTAAATATTTTCCACAGTCACAGAACAAGACTTACCGTACCTTTAGTAGAGTAGTAATGCAGTTTATTAAGATTATATGTTATATATGTTATATATAGTATACATTACTTTGGCAGGTCCTGACTGTTATAACAAAATACTTTTACCTAAAAATGAGAGTGGTGGTACAGTCTGGTGGGGGGAAAAAAAAGCCCACAAACAATGAATTGGGTATCCAGAGGTCCATGCTTGCCTTTGGTCTGCATGGGATGTCTGTGTGCTCACGGAATGCCACAGAAACACTCTGTGACCTGCTTTCCTTAGCTGAACAATGAGATTCGTACTTGTCTGTCTACACATGAAGGAGGCCTTTGTGGCAGATACATGTATGTGTCAAGGACTTGGATTTTTTTTTCAGAAGAATAAAAATATTTTAAAATTGAAACTCTAGTTATTATTACTGTTTTTTATAGTGTGAAGACCGCATGATAGATTTATTACATAGGCTTTCTCACACCCACAGACGGTTCTCCCAGGCAGCATCCTCAAAATTAGTGAAAGTCGTGACAAGGGCTGGGAGAGGGTAGATGCCTCAGTTACAAACTCTCTATACTACCCGATAAACAATTCAACACAGATGTTCTATTGATGGTAGGTCAGGAGTGCCTTCCTCATATACATTAAAGACAGCTCCTAATAATATCGAATGGCCTCTGTTAAAGTAGTCCTGTTTAATGAAATTGTCTCTAAGTGCTTTCAAGTGAAACAACCTATACTTTTCAAAAGGAAAAATGGGGAGTGAATGTTATGTTCACAACAAAAACACTTCTCTTATTAACTAATGACACTTTATTCCAATGTATCATCTTTCATTTGGGTAACTCAATGCACCAGAAAACAGAAAATATAAGGAATACTGAAGTAATGAGCTAAGAAATGACACAAGAAAGAAGTAAGATACTATCAACAAAAGAGGAACACTCCCAGTTAACCAAACTTTCAAACTTATGGCTAACCCTTCGCCCTTTTCTCTCCTCCAACCTCAAATTCTATGAAAAGCCTGGTGATAGATCACTAATATGCTTTTCCTTCTTCAATTAATCCAATGTACTTTGTTCAAAGTATGGCGGTACTTACCAATTGTGCAGTGGTCGCCCTCCCATCCAGGGCTACACTCACATTTTCCATCTTTGCACTGGCCATGCTCGGCACAGTGAGAATGACAGGAGCGTTCTTCACATGTTGGTCCTACCCAGCCTTCTTCACACTGGCAAATTCCTCTTGAGCAGACTCCATGGCTACCACACTCCATGGTACAGAGCTCTGTGGGAAATTCAAAGAAGATATATTTACATATTTTATTAAAACCAGAGTCTATTCTTTCCAAAAGACATTAGAATTACCAAAAATCCCACTCTATTTTTATTTTTAAATATATAAACCAAATGTCACAAAGACCTCTAGCATTTCAGTGAATTTGCAAGGAACTCTATAAAAAAGATAGTTAAGTCTCTAAGTATAAAATAAACCCTAAGTCAAATTGATTTTGAAAAGTCCATAAAATGATAATGGCATTCAAGGCTTAGAAATGAAGTCAGTGCTAAACAAATGTCAAGTGAGTTTCACTAAAAGTTCATTAAGATCACAAATAATGTTATAAGGATTTTATGATGCTGTAAGCAATCACTGGGGAAAACACACACACATAGTAAAATGGTGCTCTAACTTCATTCAGGAAGAGAAGTTCTACAATTGGAAAGATAGCTTTCTAATAAAATTTATAATATGCAAAAGGTAAAGCTGCCAATGATGGTAATCAACTGGTTTCCCTGAACATACAAACAATATCTGCATTTAAGCATTTAAAATGAATCCCGGTTGATTAAAATACAGTCTTATCTTGACATGTCATTCATTATTTGGCCAATATAATCAAGTTGTATACTGGCTCTGCCGAGGTTCTCTCCCCTGTCCCCTTGACTTTTGTTGAGACATGCTGAATATTAATAAAGTTATGACAGTAGAGAAGCTAAAGTAAAAGTTTGGCAAACCTTTTTCTTGACTGAATACCCTTGCTGGAGGAGGAAATGGGGGATAAAAGCCTATAGAAAGAACACAAAAGGAATAATACAATAGGTTTTGGGTACAATTGGCCATATACTCTTGAAAGAAACAGAGAATGTTCTGAAGCCAAGTCATCTATCTTTCATAATCTCAAATTTTGAAACTGGTTTTATATATTTAGAAGTATTGACATGTGATGATATCAGTATTACCCTATATTACCTGTAACAAGGCTCTTTCTATGTAACAAAGGTTTCTACTGTACAGAGTTATTTTTCAGTTGGTAAGAATATTCTTCTGATAAAGCCATGGGTATAGATTTTATTACTATCTAAATCAATTTGTTCACTAATTCATTCACAAGTATTCTCTGTGGGTCAAGGTATGATAGAAAGAATAGTGGATATGAAGTAAGGATTCCTCTGCATAAAAGCTGTGTACCCTTAGGAAAATTACTAACATGCTCTCTTAATTTCTGCTTGTGTAACTACACAATGGAAGTAATAATACTTACATCTCACAGGGTCACTGGACAGATCTGAGACATATTTTGGAGGTAGAACCAATAGGAGTTCCTCAAGACTGGATATGGGGATTGAAGGAAGGGGAAAAATGAGAGTTTTGGCTTAAACAAGTGGGTGGATACTGCTGCCATTAATGAAATGGGAAAGGCTAAGGGAAGAATAAGGGTAGAAGATCAAACATTAACTTTGAGATAATGTGTAGACAGCCAAATGAATTTAACAGGCCAGGGCTGGAGATGTGAAGTTGGCAATCATTAGCACATAGGTGGTATTTAAAGGCATGAGACTAGATGATATCCCTAAGGAGAGAGGATAGACAACGCTTGGAATAAGCCCTGAGGTATCCCATTATTTAAAGACAAGATATTAAAAACAGGAAGCATTGGGGTGCCTGTCTGGCTCAGTCAGAAGAGCATGTGACTCTTAATCTCAGGGTCCTGAGTTTGAGCCTCACGTTCAGTGTAGAGATTACTTAAAAAAAAAAAACAAAACTAAACTAAACTAAAAAAGGAGGAACCATCAAAAGGAGACTGGGAAGGAGAGGCAGTGAGTGATAGGAGGAAATCCAGGAGATTGTGGTCTAACACCAGAAGAAGACCCTTTTTCAAGAAGAGAGTAGCTAGCAGTATAACATTACTGAGAGGTTAAGTGAGATTTGGGCAGAGAAGTGTCCACTGAATTTATCAATACAGAAATTGTTGGTGGCTTTAGCAAGAGCTGTATTGATAAGGTAGCAGTTGTAAAGTCAGATCTGAATGGGTGGAAGAGTGAATGTAAAACTGTGTGTGGGGTCAACAGATTGTAAGAAAAGTATAGAACCAAGAAAATACAAAAAAAAAGGGGGCTTTGCCTAATAAATGGTAGTTCAAGTAGGTTGATCTTGAAATAGCACCTACTCTCTATATCTTGGTTCTGAATTTCTAATTGATAATCTGGATTTCTAATTTCTGTTCTTGTCATGAATCTGAGGTTATAATTATGCTCCCTTAATAGCCTTCCCCAAGGCTGAACTGAAAGGGCCTTTCTAAGATCAGGGAGCTAAACGGGTCAAAGCCAATCAAGTCAGAGCTAACAGAAACAATTAGAGGCAAATTTTTGTGTATATTGCTTTATACAACTATAAAATTTAGGCACAGAAAAATATATCCATCATTCTGGTGATTTCCTGAAAAGTAACAGGACTAGATGAACAGTATCAGCAAAATGGCAGATAAGCCTATCCTTAAAGCATCCCAATATAAACCTTAGAACTGTTGAATATAATGTAATAATTTTAAAAATTGCATGTCTTGGCTCACAAGAAACAGAATTATCAAATGCCAGAAGCAAAGATGATGCTAACAGCCAAAGAAGTAAGCATATAAGTCAACCTTCTGGCAGCTCTGAGTGGTTATCATACCCAGTAATGACTAGGGGCTTGGGTATCTATGTCCACAGAGGAAAAAGGGATGACATTTTTGGCCCATTAAGATGGGGAGTTAGACTGAAATTCCTGCAGAAAGTAAGGACCCTTGAAGGGATGCAGTTTTAGTGAGATGGGGACTAATAAACTCTATCCACTAGCCCAGAGAGATGGCAAGGAAGCATTAACTATAACGATAATAATAATATCATTAATAGTAATAAATTTGGGAGTTAGAAAACAATATTGAAATAAAATACTACCTAATAATAATATGTGCAATAGAGTGTCCTGAATGAAATATTTCTAAAACTTTGTACTATTCAGGAGTTAAGTAAGATATTGTGTCAAGTATGCATATAAAAATTTAAAGGTGGAATTGTTTCTAGTAAATGTGACCTCAGTAATTTTTACTATTCTGTCCTGATGGAAACTGGAAAATTTAGACAAAATATATTTAAAAACTGTTGGACATTACTGGAGTTCAACAAAGAGTAAAGAGTTACTGGGCCACATTCTAGGAGAAAAAGAAAACCCAGAGAGTTGATTTTTGACATTTATGGATGCTTTGCCTCTAACAGCCAGCTGGAAGACTCAGAAGCTGGGTAGAGCTTTTGTCAGTCTCACGGGTGCCGAAAGAAAAATATTTGACTACATAATGGCTAAGAAATTTCTAATACTAAAGAAAATATCAAGCCAAATATATGAAGCAAAATTGAAGGAACAAAAAAGAGAAAAAGACAAATTTACAACATAGTCAGAGACTTTATGCCCCCCTTTCTCATTAGCTGATGATAGAACAAGCAGACAACGAATCAGAAAGGATGTGAAATATCTGAGTAACATGATTATCAAATTTGATCTAATTGACACATATAGAGAACTATAATAAATAATACAAAATGCACATAATTTTCAAGTTCACATGGAACATTTACAAATATTGACCATATGCTGGGCTATAAAGCAAGTCTCAATGTATCTCAAGTATTGAAATTATTTATAGCATGTTGTCTGCCTACTGTGGACTTAAACTTGAAATACAAAGAAAAACAAAAGGTAACTATAAAATCCATATACGTTTGGAAGTTACAAAATATACCTCTAAAAAGCTATGGGACAAAAAGCAAATCATCATGGAAAGTAGAAAATACTTTAAATGAATGAAAATACAATGAACATATCAAAACTGGTATAACTAAATCCATGTATATAGGAAAACTTATAAGGTATAAAGGAAAACCAGCTAAAAACAATGACACATGCATCCATTCCAAGAAATTAGAAAAAGGAAAAGCAAAGTAAACTCAAAAAGGGTAGAAGAAAGAAAATAATAATTATAAAAGCTGAAATTAATTAAATAGGAACAAACACACAATAGAAAGAATCAAGAAAGCCAATGCTTGACAATTTGCATAGCCCAATAAAACTGATAAACTTCTGATGGGAACTGATGAAGAAGAAAATACAGAATATCCAAATAACTAATATCACTAACGAAAAAGATGACATTGCTATTGAATGTACAGACATAAAACATCATAAAAGAACATTACAAACAACTTTTTGTCAATACATTTGAAAATTTCAATGAAATGGACAAATTCCTAGTAAACACAACTTACAATAATGAACACATACACACAAAAGGAAACTGAATGGTTTCTATAAAGAACGTAAATCCACAAATGAAAAATATTCCCACAAAGAAAATCACAGTCTCAGATGACTTCACTTGTAAATATACCAAACTTTTAAGGAATAAAAACCACCAGTCTTGAATAATCTTTTTCAAAGAATAGAAAAAGAGGAAACACCACAGTGTGAGTTATGAGGCCAGCATAACCTTGATATAAAATCCTGACAAGAATATTATAGGAAAAAATACAGGTCAATTTTACTCATGAATATGAATGCAAAATCTTAAACAAAACATAAACAACAAATCTAGCATTACATAACATGAAATAATGTAATGACCAATTTGTGCTTATTCTAGGAATACACGATTATGTTTCTATCTGAAAATCAATCAATGTAATTCATCACATATATGGAATAAAAGAAAAAAATCATATGATCATTTAAATAGATATATATAAGTACTTAGTAAAATACTAAACATCTATTCATGATAAAGGCTTATAGCAAACTAAAACTAAGAAGAACATTAATCTGATAAAGATTAGCTACAAAAAACCCTACAGCAAACATCATATTTAATAGTGAGATGTTGAAATAGTTTTTCTATTTTTGAACTGAGAAAAGATGCCTATGATCATCACTTCTATACACCATAATTTTAGAGGTCCTAGCCAGTGCAATAATATAAG